ACTCATTGCCACCTCTTTTGCCCGGTGTCTAGGAAGAAATAGGGTGGACAGCAGGCACATGGGCGGCATCATCACGAGGCTGGCCCGACACTTTCATGTGGATTTGGAGCGGTGCTCCATCGTTGACCAGGCAGAGCCCTTCCTAATTGTGACTCTCTACAACCAGAAGCTAGTGCTTTAGGGAGAGCGGGGGCTAGAGTACCTTGAGGGACTCTGACCCTCACGAATCATGAGGCCGGTAGCTGACCCAACTCAAGTGGAGCCTGATGCAGAGGCACCACCACCAGAGCAGCCACCTGCTCGAGCTCCCGGCCGCCGCCAGCGTCCCGCCCTCCAGCTCCCTGTACCACCACCACCAGCAGCACCACCACCATCCGGTGCCGGTCCATCCACTTTCGGGGTATCCCTATTGGAGAGGATGGACTGTCTAGAGACCCACGTCGTGGGCGTCACTTTCCGGCTTGACCGGCAGACTGACCTGCTCGAGCGGATTGCTCGTCGCCAGGGCCTCATTCCATATGATGAGCTGGAGCCTTCGACCCATTGAGAGGCATCCGACGAGTGAGACATGTGGCAGAGCTGATTACTTTAGCCCCACTAATCCTCTTGGAACTCTGAACACTATTGTTTTATTTTGCTTTCTTTTATTTAATATGTGTGAACAACTACTACTATCGTATTGTTTTGTGTAATAACCTCTCCTCGAGCGAGTATGTGTTGTGTTTGTGTGTGTGTTTTTGTCTTCTCCTTGGAGCTAAACTCTCCTACGAGAGAAAAATTCCAACTTTCACTCACCAAACCAAGCGGTAACATCGTTCTACCCCTATCTTACGCCATTGAGGGCAATGTCGAATTTAAGTGGGGGTTAGTTTAATCTTATGCTTGTGTGTGTGTGTGTGTGTGTGTGTTTGATATTCGGAGCTTTGACGTATGCCCAAATTTGAAATTTTGAGGGCTCCAAGTGCATCCTATTATGAAAATCTTCCAAGCCCCAAATTTCTTCGTGTCTCATCGAAATAGCCGGTTTGTGGGTGAATCTCGTGTTTATTTAGCATTGACCTTGAATTGTTGCATGTGATCAAGTGCATCCTATTATGATGACTGAGTGTTGCATTAGGTGTATGCGAAAGCTTAGTTTTCATGTGTGCTTAAATGAACGGGTGTCTTGACTTGGTTACTCTTTGATCAGAATTGCCTTGCATAGAAGTTCGTGAAATGGGAATAAATGATTGGATGACTAGGTAGCCTTGTGAGATTTGCGTCGATCGTCTTGTTCATGTGTGATAGATCCCTCTTGCCATGGTTTGTAACATTCACCGTTGTCACAAGTGAATATGATAGATCCCAAAAGTCGATTGTCCCGAAATATTTTATCGACTAGTCAACCCCTTTCAGCCGTGTAACTTTGGGGGTAGTTCTTATGTTAGGAGGAGCTTGTTGCTTGTGAGCTTAATGGTGATGATAGAACGACCCCTCATCCTTTCTTCGTGTCTAAACCATTATGAGTCATCCTTGTGTCCTAGAGCTCTCACTCTTGAGCTCCATTGAGGTTCTACATAGGTGGATTTTGCATAGCCCTTGCTAGAAATGAAGAAGAAGAAGAAGTAGTGTTGGAGGAAGTTCTTAATAGAGAGCATTGTTCGTTAAGTGTTAAGTTGGCAAATGTTTAACTCTCTAGAACCCCCTCGAAAAAGAAAAAGAAAAAGAAATGGAAAGTAGAAAAAATGGAAACGAAAAAAAGAGGTATTAAAATGGGGTAAATAAAAGTTGAGAGTTGCCACCATTATAAAAAAAAAGTTGAGAGTTGCCACAAAAGTCTAAATGTATGCTCTAAATAGGGTTTCTTGGCACTCAAGCCATTGAAACACCTAAATGGTTTGTTAACCTCCTTCACAACTTTGATTGAATTGTGTATAGCAAGATAGGCTGAAGAAGTGTGCTTGAATGTAGTTCGTGATTGGTAGGGGTTTGGAAGAAGGAAAGTGAGGTTTTTGGTCGATGCTAGTGGCAGTTGATTGTAAGAAAGGTTCTAGTTGAAACCTTGGAACCTTTGGTTTTGGGTTGAAGAAGTAGGACCTCATGCTATATTTGCCACCACCCAAAAGGAATTTTCCCCATGTCCAAGACAATTTCCAGTCATTTGAACCCGTGTCTAAGATCTCCGGACAAACGAGTGATGAAAACCATCCCGTGAACTCTAGCATTTAGAGGTTTCCGCCGTGGTGGAGAGACGATAAGGCTGAGTGTTGATGGTTGTGCACATCTTTTGCACCAAAAGGTTCTGACCCCACTGGTTCTGACCCCGATGAGGACCTATGTTGCACAGTCGTTTGTGCCTTGGACTTGAACTCTATGCACGACTAGTTGTGGTTGGTGAGTGGTCTTGTAGGAACTTGCATTGATTTATGAACAGGGTGAGAATTTTTCATTTGAAGACTCTTGATGCATTCGAATGTCGTTTCTGGCGGATGTCGGTTTTGCTTGCAGCGGTTCATGTGCTGATGCCCAATAGCCATTGAGATTCACCACTTTGTGCCTTTTGATTTGTCCACAAGATATTTTGTTAGGGTTGAGATATCACCTTGGTTTAAAATGGTTTGCTTGGAGACAAGCAAATGTCTAAATGTTGGGGAGTGATTCGGGCTTAATTGTATACTTTTACCCCCCCCCCCCCCCGCGCGTTTCCTTAGTCGTTGAGGCATTTATACTCCGGGAGGTTTGGTTTTATGCTGGATTTTGTCTCATTTTTGTGCATTTCAGTCTATAGCAGGTGGAACCAACCCCGGAGTTTGGATGAAAAGGCGCAAAATCAGGTTAAAAGATGGAGGCAATAGCAGATCACGGTGGAAGCGGTGAGTTCACGGTCAGGGAGACCATGAATTGGAGCCGCAAACCGTGAACCACTAGGCGTCCAGAGTAATTTTGGTTCTCACTGGACTCAAGTCAGTTCACGGTCGTAATATCGTGAACCCAAGCCAATGACCTTGAATTGAGTTAGTGAAGCGGCGCGTTTTGGCCCGAGATCACGGTCCATGCCTTGAGTTCACGGCCGTTAACTGTGTATAAAAGGAGGCTTGAGCTGAAGGAAAAAGGGGAGGAGACCTTGAGTGAGAAAACCTTCTTCTTCAACATTCTAGAGAGACAAAGTGACGAGCAAGAGAGAAGAAGCTAGGGTTTCATTCCAAGGCAAGGATTTAGGAAAATCTTTCCCAAAGGAAGATCTCTTCTACACAAGGAAGGATTCAAGCATCTCCATGATGGTTTTTCTTCTTTCTCATTGTGATTTTCCTTCTTCTAGCATGGAGTAGTTTTCCTTTTCACTTCGGGGTTTGTGAACCTAACTTCTACCATGTGATTGAGATTGTATGGAATGGTTGTCTATGTGTGGGTGTGTTTTAACACGAATTAGGAGGTATTTTCATGGAAAATTGTGTTGTGTGTTTGCCTATCAATCTATTTGTCATTTTAACCTAGGTAGAGAAAAAAAAATCCCCTTTTGTTAAAGAGGCTTGTAAAGCTAGGTTTTCTTAGGCAAATCATGTCTCATATCTAGGTTAATGTAGGACATCCCTCCTTGTTTGTGTTGGCACCTAGGTTAATTGTGTTTTGGCCGTCCGAAGTCCTATTTGAGAGTGAAGGTTCGGTAGTCCTTAGGCGATTAGGCCAGAAGAGCTACCGAGGTAACTTAATCCGAATTCCTTGGCCTAGAGACCGAGAGAGTGATGTTCCACCACTAGCTACCAAGTTCGTCAACCCGCGGGTTGACCCACTTTGACCCTGACCCGGAGAGAAAAACAGGACGCACGCACCCGTCGGGTCGACCGCTACAAAGTACCGGGTTGAAGGTCAAATTGTGTCATTTTTTTCTTTGGTTTGCGAAATGCGCCTATTTTCCGATTTTTCTTTTCGTCTAACTCAATCTTTGGAATTCTAAGTTGAACATTTGAATATTGATGTTATATAAGTGTGTGTGAATTTTCATTATATGTTGGATCTAAGTACGACATGTTTTTTTTGTGTAATATTATATGTTATAACTCATATGTTAGATGAGAATTGATATAATTTATCAGGATAAATACAATATAATGACTCTTTCCATATTTCCGAGCCAAACCGGGCTAACACGGTTGACCCATTAACCCTTGACTCACTAGCTTGACCGGGTCCGGGTCAGCCCGCGGGTTGACAACCTTGCTAGCTACACTTCCCTTACGGTTCCCAATCACCTCCACCATACATTTTCAGTCTTCCCGACAAGTCATGGTAGTGAATTAGGGGGAGCTACACCCGGTGAATCCCTCTCATTTAAGAGTCAAAACCAATTACTTTTACAACCGCTTAAATGATAGATCATAGTTTTCAATCAAACAACCAATCACTAAATTATGTTTCAAATAATCGAAGTATGGGTATATGGACTAACCCAATTTGATATTTAAACATACTTGCCCTATATTACACTCAATTAAAGTTTATACTTGCTCAAAATTGGGAATTTTTTTTTATATTCGGACAAATCAATCACCCCAGTCAGATCACTCCTTTAGTAAGCTTACTAATAACTTCTAACCTGTTCAGAACCCATCTGCAATAAGCTCACTAAAAGGTAAATCCTACCGATTGAAAGATTCTCATCAGTGCCATTAAAGAAAACAATTCTCATTAGTGACCTTGATTAAAAAATAATTCTGTTAGTGATAAACTGATAACGGAGAACATCGAACCTTTTGAAGCAGAATAGTCATGAAAGGGAACCAGACAGGTTAACACAGTTTAACTAGGAAAGATGATAAAAATTGTTTGGGAGGTTGTACCAAAAGTCAATGATAGGATATTTTATACTGGAATTGTTTCCAATTGCTAAAATTGCCTATTGATTTAGACTTCAGTGGAAAATTTATCCAATCTAAGTTTTAGTACAATACGGTTTCCCAAACACTACTAGTGATGAACAAATGAAAAGCTGAGATTGCAACCAAAATAACTTAATTTGGCATACAGAAATATACAGCATTTCTTGTTGGTAATCTGTTCATATCAGATGCCAAGCAACAACAACCCAAAAGCAAAGAGACATATCGCTAAATGAAGCGCAACTGAGCAGCTAGGCACAAGTTGACGGACTTCTATCTTTGTGTTTAACTGGCATCTGCCGGCGGAGTTGTGGCCGCAGCTTCCCCAGAAGGTAATGACTTGGGCTGGAGGAGAGTGATGTATACATTATCATGAACGCCTTGCAGAAGCAGCTCCCCTTCATACGTAACTACTTTGCGCTTCTTGGCCGCTCTTAGTGTTCCCACCAATGCTTCAAAGATATTGGCGCACCTGTCATCGCTGAACAGCACACCAAATGTCACCTGCAACAAATATACTCCATTTTCAGATCGCAACACATCACATTCTTCATTAACATCACTCTTGACATCACAGGTCAGTTGGCATCCTGAATTTTCTTTTGTTGCGAACGGAACCCTACTTTCGAATACAGTAGGCTAGGATAACGGAACGCAAATACAGCCAGCTAGAATCATCGTCGGCCCTCGACTCCCTGAACGGAACCGTGAGTAACCTCTGCTTTGACTTCTAGATCTACTTTCTAGTTTCAATAACGAACACAGACGAGAAACATGTGGAAATGATGCCAGATCTAGAACAGAAAAAGCAGAGTTCCCAATCCCCCGCATATCAGAATCAAAATCAGATCTAGATCCACATCGTAGGATCTAGAGTTAGTTATCGTTGTCACTGACGCTTCCAATTGATGAGATGATCGAGAGATTATTGATCATGTGAGTACCTTGAAAGAGCCATCAGGCTGGGAGCTACCGAGCCTCTGGATCTCTTCTTTCAGTCGCTCGACCTCTTCTTCCACATTCATGGCTGCCGTCGCCTCCCCTTTCCTTTTCTTTCTTGCTCCGCTGATCCGAGTTTGCAGGCTCGCTCTAAACTGCGAAGTGCTTTATGCTTTCACGGTATTCTCTAGTCTCTAATAATGCGAACCCGGCAAAGTAATCTATCCAGCTTATCAATCCGCGGGTCGACCGACTTTAATCCCGGCCCGATGAAAAAAAAGTTGCACCTATTTGCCAGGTCGACCGCTACAAGGTACCGGGTTGGAGGTTAGATTGTATTATTCTTTTCTTTGGTTTGTGAAATGCGCCTATTTTTAGATTTTTCTTTTCGCTTAACTCAATTTTTACAATTCTAAGTTCAACATTTGAATATTGATGTTATATAAGTGTGTATAAATTTTCACTAATATGTTGGATCTAAGTACGACATGTTATTTTGGTGTAATATTATATGTTATTAATCATATGTTAGATGAGATTTGATATAATTTATCAAGATAAGTACAATATAATGACTCTTTCCATGTTTCCGGGCTAAAACGGGTGACCCGTTAACCATGGATTACGAAACCATACCGGATGTCAAACCGGAATCGTCTTTGGCATGGTAAATCTTGGTACGACCATGGTTCAACCATTTCCTACCGGTAAATACCGTTTTCGAAATAAAAAATTATTTTTTTGTTAAAAAACCGTACCGGAAAAATTAGGGTATCATACCCGAATAAAACCAAAATATACCACCTAAGAAACTGGAAAAGAGTAAATAAGCTTAGGTAACATTCAACAAAGTGCGACATTTCAATAATACTTTGTTAATTTCACCCCAACAGAAAGCTACAGAACGCAATATTACCCTTCATCTTCATCCAAAGCATCAATTGAGTTCTGTTCACCACAACAGAAAACATTGCAGGACGCCGATTTGGCAACCATAGAGGTTTCTCTCGAGATATTAAAGCTACTATTATGTACTAACCCATGAATCAGCCTATTTCAATGTTTTCGTTTGATTTTGTACAAAGCACAATAGAAGCAACGACAAAGGGAGAAGGAGCAAACAAGCACTACCTCTAATCTCAGTGTGTAGAAGGTATCGTTTGGGTCGGTGGTACGCAGACGATGAAGGCAGCTACTCTTTCTCCGGCGCGGCCAGGAAAGACGAAGGAAGAACGACGATGTCTTTGGCTGCTGGGGAGGATGAATCGTCGGTGCTATTTGGTTGCTGGAGAGGACGATTCGGCGATGATCTTTGGTCTCTTATCGTTGAGAAATGAGAGGAGTACAGAGACTCAGAGAGGCAGAGCGGTGCCAAGGGGGAGAAGAAAACGAGAGTGCCTGAAACACCCTAACCCGGCCGGGTACTACTTTTACTAAAATGCCCTTGATAAATAAAATACTCAAATTTTAAATTGCAGTGGGAAAAATTTTCATAAATAAAATACTGAAAGCACACACTTGTAGTTCAAAGCAAAGCCCTAACACGTGGGCAAATTAAACTCAAACTTTAAAAGTTCAATCTGATCTCAAGTCTATACTCATAATCATAAAATGCAAATAACTAGGTAGTCTCTGTCGTTGCTGCTACTGAAAATCTTAACTAGACATCCTCTGTGACGCTTGCACTGCCCTCCTCTAGCTGGCTGCCCTCGAACTTTTCCTCTCAAACTGTTGCTCTAGCAAGCTGCTACCGATCTGGTTCTCGCTCATTCCCTTACTAAGGCCTGGTGAGTGAGTTGGGGTCAGTCTACGCCCTTACGTTTTAAACTTTCTAATAATTTTGCACTTCTTCTTAAACACTTAAACTCAAACTGAGGGAAGTTGTTTGTACTTCCATTCTTAAAAATCTTAACTCTTAAAACTGTATGGGAGTAACTGTTACTCTCCATTCTTAAAGCTTAAATCTCAACTTAAATACTTGACTGACACGGGGATCCCTCACTAGCTAGTCTGGTTCCCAACTCATACGTATGAGAAGCCATCAAGGCTTTTCTTAAACTTAAACTTATCGTGGAAGGCTCTTCTTCCACGATTATCAAGAGCCTAACTGCTGCTCATCTTATAAATCTCAAGAGCATAACTGCTGCTCAACTTAAATATCTCAAGAGCATAATTGCTGCTCTGTCTCAAAGATCTCAAGAGCATAACTATTGCTCTATCTGAAAATCTCAAATGGCAACGGACTGGCGCTAGTGACTAAAAACACTTAAAACGATTTCACCTTCTTCGAAGGTGAAGTATTTCATAAAAGGGATTGTTCTTAAGCTTTAATAATCACTCATAAACGTAAATTTCAAAGTAAGAGATTAACTCATACATCTTCACTTCAAATCATAGCTCAATCAAAACACATACTATCAAACATAATCATGCAATCTTAAACATGAATCAAACACTACACATACATCACATAAATCAATACTTGAAAATACTCAAGACAGATATTTGAAAAACCGTAAGGCGTAGAATTTACCCCCTTTACACTCACCTTACTTCCGTCGGAACTGGCTCTGATTTTGCTCCAAAGTTTCCATACTCGCTTCCAATATAATAGTACACTCGTACTTTCTTGAATAAAATGGAGTAGCTTTCTTGGCAAATGGAATTAAATGGACCAACTTTCTTTGGTCATTATTGGCATCCAAGTCAGAGCGGATATGGCAATAACACCAAGACGAGCTTGCTTAAGCAAGCAGCTCAGATCTCATAGTAGAGGGGGAAAAAAGAAGCCCGCCGTCAATGCTCCTCACTCCCTCAGTCCTCCATCGTCATGCTTCCCCTCATCGTCCACGTCAAAGATTATCTTCGCTGTGGACGATGAGGGGAAGCATGACGATGGAGGACTGAGGGAGTGAAAGCAAGCAGCTCTCGGAGTAGAGGGAATGATGTTGCTCTGCCTCCATTCTCCTTGCCTTGATTACCCGATAGCGAGACCTCCTACGCCACCTCCTACCTGCTTCCCCACATCGTCCAACGTTGGGCGGAGATAACAATAACAAGGAGATTCCCCTGCCGATAGTAATAGAAGGGAACATACACAAGCTCTGTCTCCCTTTAGATGATGGTGCTGCTTTGCCTTGATTTCCCGGGTCCGGAAAGCAAGTTGCTTTTGGTGGAGAAGTACACAAGGTTGCGAGGGCTTTGCTATTGGGGTGAGGCCGAGTTGGGTAGAGGGTCTAGGGTTTAATTATTTAGAGGATATTTTGAGAATCTCACAGCTACGTGTGAGTTTAATACTTAATTAATGTCCGTAACTTTCTCAATTTATGTGCAACTTTGACACCGTTTAAACCAACATTTAACATTTTTTAGTCCTCATTGATATTACGGTGGTACTTGACCCAAGGGTATAATAGTCATTTTGATTTTTGGGAAGAGCGAGGTGTAACATTTCCTCCACCCTTATAAAAATTTCGTCCCCGAAATTTGATCGAGCTCATCCTTCCATACTCCTCATTCTCGTGCTTCTTTGTCTCAAGATTTCACTCTTGCTATATGAACTTCAATGGCGTGCTCTTACCTTGTCTTGAATAGCTTACTATAGTTCTTATATGTACTTTTGACCATAACAGGTATTCTCATCTAGCTCGGTAGCATCGAATAGGTTGAGTGACTCATTGCTCCTTTCAAAAATTTCCAACTTGGGTCCAGGATGTGATGGGACAAAATTACTGCTCAATTTTTTGGTCCAACTGATTCAGTACTTGATGTTGAACCTAAATCGAAGTCGAGGTATCACATTTTCTCCCCACTTACAAAAATTTCGCCCTTGAAATTTGTCCATTGTGATTACCCTAAGCATCGCTTGTGATAATCCTTTTCACTTCGAGGATTTGTATTTCCCTTAATTTATACGACATGACCTAAAAATCCTTCTCTCCACTTCCTGCAACTTCAATGTTGTTGTGGCTTCTTAGCACCTCACATCACCTATTTTTCACCTTGGACATATGTCGGAACGATAACTATCCATTATTCGGTACATGAGAAGTTAATGCCCCCCTCCAACCACAAGGTCACTGATGGCAGCTTATCTTCCATTTAGTCAAATAGTAAAACTCTTTTAATGTAACTCTCGTCTAGAGTTGACCTCATAGGTCACTTAGGTCCTTGTATCTCCTAACTTTGCATCCCTTACTTTCTTCCTTGATGCCTCGCCTTATCCTTTAACCATAAACTGAGTGGTCATCTACTCGTTACTTCTTGCTTAAGTCTGAAATCTCATACTACTGCTTTTACTTCCTGCATGCATTAAAGGCATCCTTTGCATCTTTCTCTAGCTTGCTAACAACTATATGACTCCCTTCAAGAGTCATGAACTTCCCTTTGGCTTACCTGTTCACTCTTGGCACCTAACTTAGCACGTCCTTATCGCCACCTGAATTTGAAGTTCTCGTACTATCCATTCTGCTACTCTTAGACCCTAGCTGAAATTCCTCATTCGGTTTCCCCGTCCAATAGAGTTTTACCCGAGAGATTGACACCTTTCACCAACATAGGCAATCTTGGTTTCACTTTGGGGTATTCTAGCAGGTTCCCTAAACTTATATCCCTCTTACTTCGTTACTCGTGACTCTTCTTCTTGATATTACTCGCTAGTTCTAGATGATGTCCTTTATTCTCGATGTAGTCATCTAGGTTCTCATATTCTCTTCTTACTAATGTACCTTGAGTCCTTGACTTATAAGTAGGGGTGATAGTCGGTTCGGTTGCGGTTAAACCGAACCGATTTTTCGGTTAATCGGTTACCGAAAAGTGCCCAAATGACCAACCGCAACCGCATCGATTATTCTGATCGGTTAACCTCAATCGCAACCGCAGATAGTCGGTTCGGTTGAACGAGTAACCGAGAGACCGCAATATCAAGCCTTAAACAAAAGGGAAGGGGGAATTAATATTTAATTGTACCAAATTTGCACCCCTCTCTCTTCCGTCTTCTCTGTTCCCCATCTCTCACTCTGCTACCTAAAATCCCCTCTCTTTTCTTCTTCTCAATCTTCTTTTTCTCTACAAATCAAATGAAAAAACTTTCAATCTTTTATCTTTTGCTTCTTCTCTGACTACTCGGAAGCTTCTTCATGGTGTCCACCGATCGAGTATGAGGAAGGCTGGGCGGCGATGCGGCGGAAACAAGCAAAGAAAG